AATTGATTGCCCACAATTAAGTTGTTCACTTGTAAATTGTTTGATTTATGTAAATGAATGATCTTGTTTGTTGCCGTATCAAATCAAATTCACTAAGTTATGTCACTTATTGTGTTTGTTATTCACTCTTGCACAGAAGAGGTATTTCCTTAATAGTTGTTGTGGCCTAGCTCAAAACCATAAATAAAAGGGAAGGCAGGCAAGTGTAACTTAAAATAATTTATTAATAACTAAAGCACAAGAAAAAAACTAAAGGGAAAGACTGGGGAGGCCTCCCTCCTGGTGAAGGCAGCTCAAGTAAACTCCACTGGAGACTCTGGCCAGCTGCCTCCCATCTCCAATCAGCTCCACAAACATTGTTTTTTTTTTCTTATGCATTTTTGTCAATGTAAATATTTTTGTTTTTTCTTTTCCTTACACAAGCATTTTTATCAAGAAATGTACAGTATATATTCTGTTTTGCTATTTCTTTATATGTGTTTTTTCTTTTTACATTTCCTTGTCTCCTCGCTTTGTTTTATGCATTTATGCAAATTAGGAGGACTGTGCCCAGCTCCTCTACTATTGGTCAATAAACAAGAAGGAACAGGATCCATGTGTGCAGATCGATTGTGCATGTCTGTCTGCGTCTTTTGGTTGTTTGAGGAGGAAAATGCCTAATCTGAGAGAAAGTGAAGTCCAAGCAGAGATGTCTCAGATGGTTGTTGATGAAGTCAGGCAAGTTGCTAKCTTAGCTGAAAGTAATACAGACATTGATGACTATGTGTTGTGTTGTGTTGATATTTTGACTGAGAGGCTACACCAGTTAGCTGCAGACACTGATAATGAAGCTGACCCATTCGTTTTCCAGATTTTGGAGGATGTTGCTTGTCGCTTGCACAAGTCTGTGTACCGCCCAAGAAAAGTTGGGAGACTGAATATTTGCTGCCCACTGATGCATTGGAATTATTTTTGCTTGCGGGTGTGTCAGTCATATTACCAAACTTTTTGGGGTCAGTGAAAGAACAACACCAGCGGATGGCAGATTATGGCATTAGGTAAGTACGCACTTGTGATGTTTCTGTTGCTTGTTTGAACTCAGCAGAAGGGTCTATTTTCTTTATTATTCACATGAAATATACAGTGATTCAGATGATGAAATTGCTATTTTTTTAAACTGGTTTTGGCTCAGAACCATCTGATGTCCATTAGAATGAACATGGGGTTTGAAGGGGTTAAAGCAGACATGTAAAAATGTGTCAGTGCAGACACGCTTGTGAGGGACACTTTTACCTCTTATAATGAAAGTTATAAGGAAATTATTTATCAAGGGTTATTAGGAAAAATACCTACTTTGTGAACCATCTCAGTGAATTCAATTTGATCTAGCAACAAGAGATCATTTATTTACATAAATCAAACAAATTATGAGTGAACAACTTAATTGTGAGCAATCAATTTTCCTACAAAAGTTTAAAAATTGACAATAATCGAGCACACGACTAAGCATAATTACTTATTAACACAACAATTTTAGGAACAGCAAAACATCAGGCTTTAGATGTTAAACAAACCAGAACATTTACAGGTACTTTAGGTTTTGGCAAGGCAGGTAGATTAAGTGAAAGTAGGAGAGTAAGATATTATCGTGATTGGTGGAGGAACAGACCCAGGGCGCAGGCAGGTTCATAAAAGGAACAAAAAGATTTATTAAATAACAGAAAATGCTGTTGAGGCAGCTCAAAACTCACTTAMAGGTTCTCAAAAACACAGGCACGAGGGAGACAAAGCTCAGGAAAAAAACAATGATCCGACAATAAGACTGAGACAGGACAGGGTTTAAATACACAGAAAACTAATGACTAAACAGAAAACACCTGAGGAGAAACACAAGGGTGACAATCAGACTAATAAGGAGCAGCTGGGCAGAGACACACTGGGGAACATAGAAAACACTAGGAAAACCAAGGAAAATGAATATAGACTATGACAGATATTAGTTATTCCTACCTTTACCTTTAAAAAATGGGTTTTAACCAGGGCAAGGCATCTCTCGCTCCACATCCGCCAGACCAGCAATGCTCAWGACAATCAGCTTTTTACCTTGAGATGACAGTCACGTCACGATTCAGGTATTCAGAAAGACAGACCCAGACAGCAAGAGGACCGTCCGGTTTGCTTACTCCACTGTGAACTTCCAGGTGTCACTCTCCAGCATCAGCATAAATCCACGTCAAGTCGTAGGAAAAGGGGCAAAGCTATGGAAGCCCATTTCCGCCACCCTGATAAAAAAAATAAAACTTGTATCTCATAATTATGACTTAGCTATCTCATGAGATAGCTAAGTCATAATTATGAGATACAAGTTTTATTTTTTTATCAGGGTGGCGGAAATGGGCTTCCATACGAAGAATTTCTGATTCCCGGTTTCAAAATAAAATGTCTTCCCAGAGGAAGGTTCAAAACAAATTATCGGTGAATGTTTCCTCCGTATTTCATGTGTAGTCACATATTTTAATGGAAAATGTTTCCATCAACTGGCTTGAAGAGAATCAGTTACGTCAGACACATGCGTGTAGTAAACAGGAAGTAAAAGTGGCATCTCAGGAAAATGGAGAGACGTTATGTTATGTCTTGTTATTGCATGAAAAGGACAGCAGGGGGAGCTCTGACTGTATATATAAGAAGCGGAATGAAGGAGAAAAGAAGAGAAGAGAATNAGGAGCCAAGGGAGGAGGCGGGAGCAGATGAGGAGCCGTCGGAGGTTGATGGAGCCGGAGCCTCGGTGACGGCGAACACAGGTGACAAAGGGGATGAAGAGGCGACGGCAGCCGACCTTGGCGACATGGAGGCGACGGCAGCCGACCCAGGCGACATGGAGACGACGGCAGCCGACCCAGGCGACATGGAGGCGACGGGCGATGATCCAGGCGACATGGAGGTGACGGGCGATAATCCAGGCAACATGGAGGCGACGGGCGATAATCCAGGCAACATGGAGGCGACGGGCGATGTGGAGGCAACAGCAACCGACCCAGATGATGTGGAGGGGGTGGCAGCCGACCCACGAGCCTCGAGGATCGCCGACTCAGGAGTCACCATCGGAACTGCCGACACCAGGACCACCGACTGTGGAATCGCCATTGGGACCACCGACTCCAAGACCACCGATTGTGGAGCCACTGAGACCACCGGCTGTAGATCCACCACCGGAACCACCAACTGCAGGACCACCGGCTGTAGATCCACCACCGGAACCACYGACTCCAGGACCACCGACTGTGGAACCGCCACCGGGACCACCGATTGTGGAGCCACCGACTCTGGAACCACCAACTGTGGGACCACCGACTCCGGGACCACGGGAACTACCAACTCCGGGCCCACYGGAACCACTAACTCTGGGACCGTCAACTCTGGAACCACCGACTGTAGAACCATCGACTGTGGAACCATCGACTCCTGGACCACCAATTGTGAAACCATTGAGTCAGGGACCACTGACTCTGGAACCACCACCGGAACCACCGACTATGGAACTGGGACCACCAACTCAGCAACGGTGACCACCGATTGTGGGACTGGGGCCACTAACTCAGGAGACTCAGGAACGGATTCAGATGACCCAGCTGTTACGGGTGACCCAGCAAACTCAAGTGAATCGGTAGCCCAAACAGCCGGTTCGGACAGCAAAGTCCCAGACAGCGCTGCAACGGCCCAGGAAACACAGAAGGGGTGGAAGGGTGGGCGTTCAAATGCTCGGCCAGATGACGCCGAGCGTACTCACTGACCCTCCGGTGGCCAGGCAGAGCAGCAGATCGGGACGCCTCGCCAAGACATCCTCGATCTGCTGGCAGAGGAGTCGTTTTGCCGCATAGGTGGAGGACCACCAGAGGATCATGAGCGATCCAGCAATCTGAGGGCTTGTTACCTCATCCTCCCACGGCAGCAGAGACGGGACTGGTTCTTCACAGGCAGGTGAGGCCAAACCGGTCGTGTGTGGTTCAGGCGTTGGTGAGGAAAAAAATTATCTGCCTTGTTAAGGGGCAGACCAGAAAAACCTTTGCCTGCAGGCTGGGTGCGTGGTCGGATCATTATATCGGGATTGGTGGAGGAACAGACCCAGGGCGTAGGCAGGTTCAAAAAGGAACAAAAAGATTTATTAAATAACAGAAAATGCTGTTGAGGCAGCTCAGAAATCACTTACATGTTCTCAAAAACACAGGCACGAGGGAGACAAAGCTCAGGAACAAAACACAATGATCTGACAATAAGACTGAGACAGGACAGGGTTTAAATACACAGAAAACTAATGACTAAACAGAAAACACCTGAGGAGAAACACAAGGGTGACAATCAGA